TCATTTTGTTGCATATGGGTTTCCAGTTTTCCCAGCACCATTTGTTGAAGATGCTATCCTCCCTCCATTGCATGCTTTTAGCTCCTTTATCAAATATAAGATAGTTGTAGCTTTGTGGATTAGTCTCTGTGTCCTCTATTCTGTACCATTGGTCCACCCTCCTGTTTTGGTACCAGTACCATGCTGTTTTTGTTACTATTGCTCTGTAATATAGTTTTAAGTCTGGTATCGCTATACCGCCTGATTCGCACTTCCTGCTTAGAATTGCTTTTGCTATTCTGGGTCTTTTATTTTTCCATATGAATTTCATGATTGCTTTATCCATTTCTACAAGAAATGCCGTTGGGATTTTGATTGGCATTGCATTAAACCTATAGAGAACTTTTGGTAATATTGCCATTTTGATGATGTTAGTTCTGCCTATCCATGAACAGGGTTACTGAATGATCAATGGGTTACAGAAGACATAAAGGAGGAAATCAAAAAATTCTTAGAGATAAATGAAAATACAGACACAACATATAGGAATCTATGGGACACAATGAAAGCAGTTTTAAGAGGGAAATTCATCGCTTGGAGGTCATTCCTCAAAAAAAGGAAAAACCAACAAATAAATGAGCTCACACTTCATCTCAAAGCCCTAGAAAAGGAAGAGCAAAACAACAGCAAATGTAGCAGAAGGCAAGAAATAATTAAAATCAGAGCGGAAATCAACGAAATTGAAACAAAAGAAACTATTGAAAAAATTAACAAAACTAAAAGTTGGTTCTTTGAAAAAATAAATAAGATCGACAGACCCTTAGCCATGCTAACGAAGAGAAGAAGAGAGAGAACTCAAATTACTAACATACGGGATGAAAAAGGCAATATCACAACAGACGCTACAGAAATACAGAAGACAATTAGAAATTATTTTGAAAACCTATATTCCAATAAAATAGAAGATAGTGAAGACATCGATAAATTCCTTAAGTCATATGATTTGCCCAGACTGAGTCAGGAGGATACTCACAACTTAAACAGACCAATAACAATAGAAAATTGGTTTCTTGAGTTATTGAGTTGATATGTTCTGACCTTTCTTGGATAATTGCAAATATGTATAATGAACTTTTATATGTTTGCACAAAACATATGTAAATATTCATATTTAAGGCAGACTGGCTATGATAAGTTCACATAGCTATGTATCAATCATTTCTATTCTATTTTTGTAGTCCTGGGGACTGAACTCAGGGCCTCACACAGGTAGGTAAATGCTCTATCTCTGAATTACAACCTTAGCCCTTTTTTAAAAAAAAAAAATTATTCTGAGGCAGGGTCTCGCCAAATTACTGAGGCTGGCCTTGAATTTACAATCCTCCTGACTCAGCCTCCCAATAGCTGGGATTACAGATGTGTGCCACAGAACCCAGCTTCATTTCTATTTTACAGATGAGAAATTCTGTAAAGCCTCATACACTGTAAGAATTGATGACGCTGTTGGGAGACAATTCTCCATGGTCATCTTTCCATGCTTACCTTTCCAACTGTTCTTTGTTTAAGACTTTCTTTTCAGTTGTTAGTGATCAGCCTTGGAAGATAGAAATACTGTTATTATATTATCTCTTATTAAATTTATAAATAAAACAGTACATAAAAATTTATTTGCCCTCTCTAACAATGCTTCTGTTTCTAAAATTATGATTCATGTTTTATTTGTTGGCAGGTTTCCTCTCATAATGTGTGAGTTCCAAAGAGATCTATTTGAATTTGCTTTATTAATATAGTCACATCTGACACTTTGATGATTGTCCTCGGGTGTGAAGTTCCATTTGTATTACTAAGCTAATTATATCCATGGCTTTAAAATTAAAAGTCTAAACAAAACAGCTAGTGAGCTGTAAAATTCTCAAGTGATTTTAAATAAAGAATAGTACTTTGTAAATACTAAGCCCTGAAACAAGTGATTTGATACTATTATAATGCTCAAAGAATAAATCAAGGACAGTGATAGTTTCCATATAGCCTTTAGTCAGAGTTCAAATTTCAAGTTTAAAAACAAGCATTATGTGGATTAGATCCTTTCTCTGAAAGGTTCTGAAATACAGTTTCCTGATGTCCTCTACCTCTCATCTCCAGATGGTTGTCTTTGGCAAAGAAATATCCTGGTGCTACCTTCTTCAGAAACACATGACTATTTGTAAGAATTCCATCTCAATTAAAAGAAAAGGACACTGTCCATTGGATTTCACATATTATTTTGAGCTTCTAGAAGAGCATTTTTTTTTCATGGATGACAGTGTTTTTTCTTATTCCTTGATGTGCATTTACTGTAAGCACAGGGCAGCCTTGAACCTTCATTACACACAGTACCTACCCTGAGAACCGAAGCTTGTGGGAAAGATTCTATTTAACTCCTGATTTCTCCACTTAATTAATAGGAATTTCTAAAGTTAGATATGAATTTTAATGAAATGTTTTGATCCCCAGAAGTGAAACTCTAGTTTGATTCTGACAGAATAACAACTACAAGCTATTGAATAGAAAGTATTTCAAAAACCTCACAACCACAGCACTTGCCAGGGTTTTGGGTTTTGTAAGCCAGTCTATTCTGATTCAGATATCTGTGGTTCCAGCTATTATCCCCATATTGTCTCATCTAGTTTTGATCAAAAGTTCTGTCATTCCTGGCCAAAGCACTAATTCCTGAAGGAGATCCTTAGAACTTTCCCCTCCTACTATAGTGACTGAGAAGGTTGTATATTCCAGATAATGCAGCTATAAAATGGACTGGCTTTGTCTTAGTCTGTTTGATGTTGCTATAACAAAATGACTGATGCTGGGTAATATTTAAAGAAAAAGAGATTTATTTGGTTCATGATTCTGGTAGCTGGAAAGTCTAAACAGCATGGTGTCTGCATCTGGAATGGGTCACCTAGTAGTGTCACAACATGACAATGGTATCACATGGTATGAAAGCCAGAGAGAGACTGATGACAGTGACAGAGCAGCCATGTGGTGAGAGAGGAAGCAAGAGAGTGGAGAGGGGCCAGCTTGCTCTTTTATAACAAACTGCTTTCCAGGAGCTAATTCATTCCTATGAGACAGAAACCACTGCACTAGACTAGCCTTATTCCCTTCACAACGATGGTCACGACCATCAACTTCCACCAGGCCTCATCTCTTAAAGGTTCTACCTTTAAGGTTCTACCATTACCATTACAACCAGAACCAGGCCTCCAGCACATGAATCTCTGGGAGACAGTCATATCCAGACTACAGCAGGCTCCTATCAGAGCCCTTTCTGTTGATTAGTTTGATGTGATCAACAATTTTTAATTCAAGCCAGTGAGGTCCAGGGATTGCTTATCACAACTATAGAAGTGTATGATCATCTTTTTCTATTTTCAAGTGGGTTGTCTTTTTCTTAGTGATTTATAGAAGATCTTTGCCTATTTCGAATATTAACATTTTGTCTGTTACATATGCTGTATTTTTTCTTGTTGCTGTAATTTTATTTGCAATGCATTTTTCTGTCAAGAACTTAAAAGTTTTATCATATATAGTCTTTTAGAGTTTTTCTGTCTTTATAGAAAGGGTGCATCCCCTTGCTAAGATTATAATTTTCCCATTACTATTTACTGAATAGACATCATTTTCCCACTGGGACAAAACTAAATTTGAGCTATGCATATATAGATCTATATCTGGAATTTTAATTTTTCTATTTTGATGTCTGTACCATACTAACTTTTGTATTTCTTTTCAGTATATATTCTGATATGTGGTATAGCTTATTCCCCTACATCACTTTATTTTAAAATACTCTTGGTATTTATATACATTTATTCTAGATCAATTTTTCTATCAAGTTCAGAAAAAAAATGTATTGAGATTCTGGGGGAAATTTTACTAATTATGTATATTAGTATGGTAACTATCATGGTGGTACCTGACTATCATTGCTACTTGAGAGGTAGAGGCAGAAGAATTACAAATTGGGGGCTGGCCTGGGCAACTCAGTGAGACTCTGTCTCAAAATAAAATTAAAAGGGCTGGGAGTGTAGCTCAGTGTAGCATGCTGAGGTTCAATTCCCAGGACCCCAGTCCACCCCTCTCACAAATATGGGGAATACTGACATCTTCATACTGCTGAGTTTCCCATCCAAGAATACACTATGTCTTTTTATTCAGATCTCGTTAAAATTTTGTAATGTGTCTTGCTAAATTTATTCCTAGGCATTTCCTGACCTTTGCTGCTATTGCAAACATATTTTCTTTTTGTAATTGGCTGATTATTAAATTTTACAGCTCTGTTTAATGGGTAAAACAGAATACATAAACTTCAAAGGCCTGTCTGAGAAAACAGTTTTAACTATTCCTGTTCAATAATTATCTAGAACCTCATTGAGAGACATACTGTAAATGGCTGACTCAAAGATGCGACAAACAAAAGTGTCTTTGGCATGCATCAGATTTTAAAAAGTGGTGTGTCTTCCTGGGCCCTGTCACAGCGGCTCTGCTCAACACTCACCTAACTTCACCTTGGTGTTAATCACTGGCCTATGAAAATTCTTTTCAGAACTTTCTACAAGGTTTTTCTTACATCCACATTTGGCCATCTTTCTGAAACTCCCAAAGAGAAGTGTTTGCCCTGGTCTTGGTTCTTCCTAGAAACTGCTCTGGACTTTTGTCTCATGGACCCTGGGGTAAATCATCCACTGGATAGCATTTCCCTCTGCGTTGGCTGCTAGAGAGTTTAAGGTCGAATTTTTATTCATCCTCATTTTCATGATGAATGCATTTTGAATTCTAAACTTATTCCTAGCCTTGAACTTTCTTATATGTAGTGGCCGTTTTTCATTTATTTCCATCTTGTTATACCTTACATATCTTTGTAATCCACTTTAAATGTTTTCTTGACCAAAACAGACTTGAAAATGCTGAGATGAGCTTGTGTCCTATTAATCCATGCTCTAATTTCATGAAATTATGAAATAAGTAGAATTACCACACTATTTGAAATAAAGACATTTATTCTGAAATAGAGAATCATGTTCTTTGAAATTACAGATTGGTTTATTAAAAAAAAATAATAACCCTAATTTCTTAAGTCAAATTTACTTTAAAATACCTTTTAAGAAAATGATTATAGGGCTGGGGTTAGAGCTCAGTGGTAGAGCACTTGCCTAGCATGTGTCTGAGAAAACAATTTTAACTATTCCTGTTCAATAATTATCTAGAACCTAGGGCCTAGCATGTGTGAGGCCCTGGGTTCAATCCTCAGCACCACTTAAAAATAAAAAAAAATAAGATAAAGATATTGTGTCCATCTACAACTAAAAAAAAAATTTAAAAAAAAGAAAGAAAATGATTATATAGCCAGGCATGGTGGTTCACTGCTATAATCCCAGCAACTGGGGAGGCTGAAGCAGGAAGTGTAAGTCCAAGGCCAGCCTCACAACTTAGAGAGATGCTGTCTCAAGACTAAAAATAAAAAGGGCTGGGGATGTATCTCATTGGTCTCTGAGATAAATCCCCAGTACCAAAACCAAACAAACAAAAAACAACGAAAAGAGAGACCCTGTGCCTACTAGAAGTAAAAGTAGGGCCAATTCTCTATTATGTCGGCTTAGGAACTGATTTCCTTAGCAAGACTCCTAAGATGCAAGAAGTAAAATTAAGAACGAATGAATGAGATGGTATCAAGCTAAAAAGCTTCTTCATAGCAAAGGAAACAGTCAGCAATGTGAAGAGAGAGTCTACAGAATGGGAGAAAATCTTTGCCATCTGCACCACTGATAGAGCATTAATCTCCAGGATATATAAAGAACACAAGAAACTTAACACCAATCCCCCGCCCCCAAATAATCCAGTTAATAAATGGGCAAAGGAACTGAAGAGGCACTTCACAGAAGAATAATTATGAATGGTCAGCCAATATATGAAAAAGTGTTCAACATCTCTAGCAATTAGAGAAATGCTAATTAAACTACACTGAGATTCCATCTCATTCCAGTCAGAATGGCAATTATCAAAAATAAAAGGAACAATAAATGTTGGCGAGGATGTGGGGAGAAGGGTACACTCATACATTGCTAGTGGGACTGCATATTGTTGCAACCATTCTGAAAAGCAGTATGGAGATTCCTCCAAACACTAGGGAAAGAGCCTCCCTTTCATCTGTAACTCCAAAAGAGTTACAATCAGTGTGCTACAATCTTGTGGCCACATCTATGTTTATAGCAGCCTAACTCACAATAGCTAAACTATGACAACAATTTAGGTGTGCTACAATAAATGATGGATAAAGAAAATGTGGTATACACATACTATTATTCAGCCATAAAAGATTCTTACTTTATGACTTTTGCCAGTAAATGGATGGATCTGGAGGCTATGTGAAATAAACCAATCCTCCAAACAACAACAACAACAACCAAAAAACCGAAAAGAAAAACAAGAAAGAAAATGATTACATGGGTAAACTTTATACTTGAAGGTTGGCTAGGAAATTCACACATCATGAGAGTCATCATACTGCTAGTTTTTGTTTTCTTGATTGAAATATGCTTACTCCTGTCTTGTGCTCAATTCTGAAAAAACAATTCCTCAGCAAGGATTTTGTTGTTGTTGTTCTATTAATTTAAAGCTTTGTTTTGATGACTCAGCCTAATAATGTTAAGAATAAATTGGGATTGTTTTTAACTGAAAGTCTACAGTTTTCTTTCCTTTTAATCAGCACATGTTAATTGTACAAAATAATGGGTTTCATTGTGACAATTTCACATGCACACACACGCACACACACACACACGTGTGTGTGTGTGTGTGTGTGTGTGTGTTAGTTTGGTCCTATCCATCCTCCTTGTTAAGCTACAGCCCCTTCCTCTAGTTATCCTCCTATTTTCATATCATCCTTTCCCCCACACCTCCATTGAAGGTCTATTTCCAAGTTTATATACACAAGACAAAGACATTTTTAGGAAATACTTTTTTAAAACTCTTGGTTGGTTGGTTTGTGGTACTGGGGATTGAACCCAGGACCTCACACCTGTTAGGTGAGTGCTTTACCACTGAGCTACATTCCCAGTTCCTAAAAACTAATTTCAATTCAGTGAAGTAGATCTAAATAGTGTGGTTAACGGTAAGTTTTTAAAACCATGAACAAAAGGAGTTAGAAAAGGAATTTGTTAATACTGAGGTCTACCTATAAGCCGATCAATACTCAAACTATCCAAATCTCAATGAAAGTGAGAAAGGGCCATTGAAGACATTAAAAATCCTCAGAGGTAGCGTCAGCACGTGCTCCTGAAGCACTCTGGGCCTGAAGGACAGTCGAGGGCCACAGGGACCTCCTGGGAGCAGCAGCTGAGAGCTTGTACTCGTGATTCCTCTGGGCAGAGAGGCACAGTGGTCCAGGTTGGTCGGGACCACAGGGACCCTTTATGTCAGAGACTGATCGTGAGCAGGAGAGGACCCACAACTCTGGCCACAAGCCCGAATCCAGCAGCATCATACAGTTCAAGAGAGTTCCTCATTTCTACACAGAACATTGCTAATAATTTTATTTAAATAAGATCAGTTGACGAACTTCTCAGAAAGTGTGTGTGGTGACTTTCTCAGCTGAACCCCTCTGGCATTCCCCTCCATGGCTCAGAGGAATCGGTAGAGGTCGGCCTCCCTGCTCTGCAGCTTCAGCAGCGCCCCCGGGTGGAACATGAGGTCCACGATGTAGACTTCGGGCAGCGGCAGGCCCCCGGTCAAGCCCTTCCGAGACTCGTTGACCAGCTTCACTTCGTTCCACGCGCGGCCGTACTCCCCTCGCACCAGACTGCAGCCGAGGCCGATTTTATCAGCCAGAGCCTGGGGGAGAGAAACGGAGAGAGAGGGGGGGATGGAGAAAAGCCCTTAGTTGTAAAACCCACCGAGGTGGAAGGTCAGATCCACCCTGCAAAGGAAGGCTGAGTTTCAAGGCTGAAAAATGTGGACGATCTGCGATAGGAGCCGATCGAATGTAAGAAGTTCCCTGGTTCCTCGCCATGCTGTGACCTCAGAGGGTCCTGGGGAAAATGACATTTTTCAGGCAGTTGCTGTATTGAATCGGGCTAAGATGGATAAGGTGTTGGGGAAAAGCTATTGCGTGGCTCTTAGCCCCGGCCCATCTATCAATCTTTCCACACCTCCAGGCTGCTCTTTGGCTGTGCTGTGCAGTGCGATCGAATGGGGGCATCAAGTTCGCGGGGACCTATTTCTAGCCAATTTATTCTGTGTAAGGTAGACAGGGACTGGCCTAGAAGGGGAAGCAGAGTTGTGAGTGGTGGGCCCTTCTGGGGCCACTTGCTGCCACCTCAATAGAGGATACTTATGTTCCTTAGACATTACCTCCTCAAATTACCCCCATTTTCCTGATTTTGAGGTTATTTTTTTAAAAAAGTGTCTTTAAAATAATCTGGAAACTTCTCAGCCTGTTCACAGTGAATAAAAGAGCTGGGAATAACTACCTAATTTCCCCTCAGCCCTGGGATTTACTAGCCACTAACCACAAGCCAACGACACAGCATATCTAGGCTTCCATTTCTTCATCTGTGAAGGGAGAACAACTGTCGCTTCCTCATTTGGTTATAAAGATGAAGTGAATTAATATGCATCGAGGATTAAAAGTCAAACATTCCATAAATGCTACATAGATTCATAAGGCAAGACTTGAGTTGTTTTAACAATCTTTATATTCATATATTAATTTAACTAATTGGTTACTTACTATGCAATGACTGTGCCAAGTAGTTTTGGGCAAGCCAAAATGATTAAGATATGGTTGTCATTTTCAGGACTTTATATTCCACCTAGCCTGACACAGCCTAGTAAATAGTCCATTGAAACACAAATAGTATCTAAATGTATGGTCCTCATGGTCGAGTGGGGTGTAGAGACCACACACACACACACACACACACACACACACATCCTATAATTATATATACGTATGCGTGTGTGTGTGCATAGATATATGTGTGTGTGTCTGTAAACGCACACACACACACACACACACGTACACGTATATATAATTATAGGATGTTTTCCAAAATAGTATTTACTGATCTTTTAACACCATGTCAAAGCACTTTAAATCCTCAAAAAAAAAAATCCTATGGAATAGATGCTATTCCCCATTTTGTGGAGAAGTATCAAGGTTACTGTAAATGGTGGCCCAAAGTGAAAGCCAGGGCATCAGTCTCCAGAGTCTGCCTTTGTGACCTTGGGGAAAAAACTGAGTGAGCCAGCCCACAAGCAAATGAGCTTACATCTTCTTTGTGAAGTGGGACACAATTGTAAACCTTAGGGATTTAGGTACTATTTCAGGTGTATGAAGAAAGACTTTACCCTTTGAAATTCATTAATAGAGAACAGAAGAAAGCCTGGGTCAGAACGTAGAGAAACCCCGGTATTTAAGAGAGGGGTGGAGAAAAAGAGGCCTCCAAAGCAGACTAAATGAAATGACATGAGAGGACAAAAGCAACCAAAGAGAGCAGTGTCAGAGAATAAAACGGACAGTGACAAATTCTTTGGCATATTAAGTAAGACAGACATTGTGGAGGTCACCATGGTCCTTATTGACAGTGGGTGGCAACAAGTAAAAGGTGAGCCAAGGAGTGACAAGGAGTTGATATGACTCAGGATTTTGACCAGGAATGAGAATTCCCTCTGGGTGGAAGCAAAGTGGTAGGTTTTTTTTGTTTGCTTGGTTTTTTGGGGTGTCTATTTTTATTCAGATAAGCATGTGGTTCAAATTCTAGTCCTACCTCTGACTGAACCTGGGTAAATTATTTTTCCAACTCTCAGTTTTCTTGTCTTTAAAGCAGGGTAGTAATTGTAATCTTTGGCATTTCTGAGGCTCTTCACAATGGGATTCATCAAGTGTCTGGGATGCAGTTTAACATGGTGACTGTCATGATACTAGGCACTGTAATAGTAGTCGTAGGTTTTATAAAAAGAGATTCACATTTTCTCTTTATATATTACAGACTTAAGTGTGTTTGTATTTTAAGTGGGAAAGAGTTAATAGAAAGAGATTTAAGACAGGAGAAGGAACAATTAGTAGAGCAAGAAATCCAAAGAAGTACGAAAGGCATTTGGATTATGAACAGGATTAGCCTGGAACTGGGGAGAAGATACTGGATGTGATGAGGTTGATAGGTCTTTGGAAGAGGGTAGGAATTTTACATATTCAGTCTGTAGTTTGGGAAACTTTTTTCTCAACTCCTGTTCTATGCCATACACTGGGTACAATAGAGCAAAAGATGGCTCCCGCTCTTAAAGTGGCCTCTTAAACCAGGCCATCCTCCCTGGTTTCCATGCCAGGAGCCAGGAAACCATTCTGTTCCTCACATGCCATCTCTCATGTTGTACTCTAGCAGCCATCAGTTCCTTTTGGTTGCTCCTCCTAACTCTCTCTCTCTTGATCCATCACCTCTTTGGTACAGGTCATCTGTACTTCTTGCTCTAGCCCCTTCTAATTGGTCATCCTGTCCCTGGTCTTGCTCCTACTCTAATTCATTCCTCATTCCATTACCTGAATGGTCTTTCAAAGTTATGTTCCTCCCTTCCTCCTCGACAGTTTTCAGTAACTACTCTCAGATTTTTTACTGAAGCACAGACCTACATGCTGCATTAGGATCAGGCCTTTAGCTTTATTTAACTCCTTTCTCTCTCTCTCTCTCTCTCTCTCTCTCTCTCTCTCTCTCTCTCTCTCTTCCTCTCTGTCTCTCACTCACATCCAGATAACCTACTCTCATCCTTGTGCTATTTTTCTAAGGGTGTTGGCTCTGGGTGGAACATTCTAGTTTTTCTTCTTTACCTGATGAAATCTTATGCAGCCTCTAATGCTTGCACTGTTGACCACTTATTTCTTTGAAACCTTCAATATCACCTCAGAAGATGCCTGGTACCTTTCAATTCAGGGACTCCTGCTTTGGTATCTCCGTACTCCCAGACACTAGCAGAGGCCCTGTAGTAGTTTTATGATAAATGCTGAATGAATATGCTTCTAATAGTCTAGACATATATGCAGTCATGTGTGTATGTATATACACACACATATATTTTTGTACACATACATTACAAATATGTCAAATATAAGCAAATCTAAAATATAGGGTCAATATTATCCAGTTAAATGTTAGCAACTGGCTCACTGTGAAATGGTAAAGACAAAACATATTAACATAATGGCCAATAGACAAAATATCTGAAATACCTTGAAAAGCAAAGCTCGGTGGTAGAAGATTCCTTTTTTGATGTATCCAATTGGAATAACGTTGGATTTAAGTTGAACTTTTAGTTCACTTATATGAAGTTCCCAGCTGAAATCAGGCAGTTTGTCTTTTGCAATCTTACCACCCATTTTTTCTGCCACATACCTGTGTCAATTACATTGAAATAAAATCAATCAAGTTTAATATCTCACTTTGGATACTTTGATTACTATTATGTGTATTATTATCCATATAAAAACTGTATTCCCTCCAGCTGGACGCAGTGGCCCCATGCTGGTAATACCAGCAGCTTGGGAGGCTGGGGCAGGAGGATTTTGAGTTCAAAGCCAGCCTCAGCAACAGTGAGGCTCTAAGCAACTTAGTGAGACCCTGTCTCTGAATAAAATACAAAATAGGGCTGGGGATGTGGCCCAGTGGTTGAGTGCCCCGGAGTTCAATCTCTGATGTCAAAACAAAACAAAACAAAGCCCCCCCAAAACTGTATTCCCTCTGATTTTTTTTTTTTTTTGCTGTTTGATTTACTTTTAAAGATGTAAAAATTTACTCACAATGAGGTTAACATTATGCTTACTGTATGTATATAAGTATTTACATATACATACAAACTCTAGCAATTTAATGTATTGTGAAGAGGAAATTCGATGCCAATTTCCCAATATTTATAACAAGATACAAATCAACATTACACCAAATATAAATGCAGTCTTGAAATTTATCTCATTCTGAAAAAAAGTATTCTGAATGATAATGTTTTAATCTCAAGTCCAAGGTGTTACACTAACATAAGAGTTTCCTCTGAAGGAACTTAAATTTAGAGACAAGACAAACAGAAAAATTTCCCACTAGATTCACTGACATTTTCAAGTCCTTTAATTTATATATAAATATATATATTTTAGAGAAAGGCATGACATCACATAGCATTGAAGTTAGACAAAGAAGAGGAGGAATTAGAAAAAGAGCAGTGAGCAATGATGGGAGTGGATACTTTGTTTATGGTTTTCTCCTAGAGCTAGGTGCTCACTGAAGAACTTAGCAATCACACCTGCCAAGATCCTCTGACAATTAAAGCCACCACTCTCTGTAGAATTGCAAGTTTAAAAGAATTTCCTCTTGCTGTACTATGAAGAACAATAGTTAAAAAAAGAAAGAAAGAAAAGTCAGGCTCAGTGGCTCACATCTGGAATCCCAACTACTCTGGAGGCTGAGGCAGGAGGATAGCCAGTTTGAGGCCAACATGAGAAACGTTATGAAACCCTGTCTCAAAATAATTTTTTAAATAAAAGGACTGGGGGTATAGCTCAGTGGTAGAGGGCTTGCCAAGCATGTGTGAGGCCCTGAGTTTTGTCCTTAGCACCACAAACAAAACAAAAAACAAACAAACAAAACCCAAAAGGAAAGTGTTGAGAAAGCTGGAAAACTGACCATGGCTCTATCTAGCCAGGAGTGCTTTAATGACTGCCAAGGACCAGAGGTCTGGGGACAGATCTCTGCATCTCTCTTCAACTTGTTGTGGACTCAGGACAATGATTTGGGAGTGATGGAAAGAACCTCAGAGAGAAACAAAGCACAGAGAAATGTGACAAATGTTTATAGGAGCTGAATCAAAGGTTTTGCTTAAGTCATCACTTCTCAAGGTCGTCAGGAAAAACTTCTGATGCCAAAAAATGCTGTCTTTCAGTCCTGGCTGACAAGAAGTCAGTGATCTGGCAGCTGCAATCCTTGCAGTTGTCACATCCAGGTTTGATGACTGCGGCTCACTTCTACTTGGAGTAGACACAGGCTCCTGTGGAGACTGCAGCTGTTGCAGGAGCCAGCAGCTCACCTCCTGGGCGGTGTCAATCACGAAGCCTACCCTCCACTTCTAGTGATTCCTGATCCCTTACAGCCACCAAGTCACATTCTCAGCCTTTCCTTAGTGGCATCGATTCAACACTCTCATGAGGACCAGTATTCCACAGGCTCTAACAACGTTCATACCCGACTTTAGAGCAATGTGAAACACAAACAGAAAAACAGAGGATGATTATTTGTATGAAAAATCATTTTTAAGTTACAAATAATTTACAGTGGGGCTTATTTAAATTATGAGGACTTTGTACACCTAAGGAATGATTTATTTCTCAAACTTTTGATTCATTCATAACATCTCCAAGACCACACTGAAAGATGTTTTTAATGGTTTAGCTGGAGAAAATAACAGACATGTTTCTCTAAGCAATTTCTAGCTCCTAGCTCTGATTCTTCAAGGAAAAGTGACCTAAAAGAGAAATTGAAAATTTTTGAAGTTCATTATGCTTCTGCTTCAGAGTCAGAGAAAGGATACTATGAAGTTCAATTTTATTGTAATGGATTTGTCAAAAATGGCTTAAAAAAAAGCAAACCACTAAAATGAAAAACATTCATAAATTAAAAATGTATATGTATACCCAGAGAACTTACTTGGCCAGAACCTCAATCTGTTCCTTAACATTGGTTATGGGCAGTATTGATTTGGTCGCTTCATACACATAAATACAGAACTCAGGATCAGGAGGAGGGAACCACTCTTTATCAGAACTTTCTCCAGTCAGTTTTGGTGCTGCCAGAACTTCTTCTTCCTCTTTCAGTTTTTCCTCTTCTTTTTTCCCTCTGCCTTTCCTTTGAGAGTAAGCAGCAATCAAAATCACATCTTTTGCTAAACAAATGAACAAAACTAACTATGCTGAGTTAATTTGAAGAGCATTATAGGAATAAAGTATTTTATTCCTCAACAACCATACCATATGTAGTTTAGAAATTTTCATTTATAGTCTATATTATGTTGGAAAAACTATTTTTGAAGAGAACCTATATGATTGGTATATATTATAAAAATCATGGATTGGGCTTTTGCACAATTGCCTAGCAAGGTTTTTGGCACAGTGTAGGCATAAAATAAATATTTATTGAATTGGAAAAAAATTGGTTTACCTAAGCTGAACTTACATATTGCTTCAGTTAAGGCTTTTGAAAGAATTTGGATAGCTAAATTTAAGAATAATTATCCAAAACATGGAACTATAGCATAAAAGAAAATAAAAATGGCATATAATTTCCAAGTCATATGGGAGCAAAGACTCATTCAAGATTTATTGAGAGAACATACTTAGTAAAAACAGAATTGCTTAGCATCAAATAAACTATTTACTATTTATTAAAAGTTCCAGACTTGAAGAATTACTACTTAAAGTGTAGCTTTTGTTTAGTAAAGATTAATATAATTTCTGTTCAATGGAAAAGGTACTCCCCAAAATTAGTTTATTACATTGTAGGATGTTAACAAGTTTTGCACAGAGCTCAGTAATCTTTTTGTAATGTTTCTTAATCAAATTGGATATAAATACCTCATATCTCAGGTATCTTTTGAACCAGTATTAACATCTTACTGGTTCCCTCATCAATTAATGAGTTGAACAACAAACAATGATATGTGGTCTCATTCCAGGTAACATGGAGTAAGCACATTCCACTCTGTCTTTCCCAGTGAACATAGCCATACAGTATTCATGTAACAGCTATTTGAGGACCCCAAAAGTAAATATCAACAGGAAGGTCAAAAAGACCAAAATGAATCACTACTAAATTGACAATGAGTTTATCCTTTTATTTTCTTCACAATTCCCCACGCTGAACTAAACCTACCGTAATAACAGAAGTGAGCATTAGCACAGACAGGAAGAAATCAAGGAGAAATGCTCTTGAGAAACAGGTAAGATAGTAGAGCAAAGTCTCTGTCTGTTTTCTTCTTATTCTCCAGTTTTGTGCACCCCAGCCCCAAAGAAATGCCATGACAGGGGAGGCACCAGGGTCTCATAAGAGGTCATACTGTTTCATATGCACTCATTCCTCTGTTTGATTGTAAACATCTGGGAAGTCATGCAAGAGAGCAGCAGGAATGAGTAAATGAAGTTTTATGGCTGGAGGACCCAAAGGGAAGCTCAAAGAGACCCAGAAAGAGAGAGGAAAGAGAGAGGGGATGGGGCTGGAGGGAGAGAGAGATAGAGATATCATGGAAAGGAAGAGGTTGAAGAAAGTGACCTTGTAGAATTGTTTATATAGCAACAGCAACAACACCACTACCAACAAAATTCGCAACTCCCTGAATGGGTTTAATAACAGAATGGAGACATATAAATTTGAAGCTACAACAATAAAAATTATCCAATCTGAATAACACAGAAAGAAAAGATTGAAAAATCAAGAGACTCTCAGGGACCTGTGGTATTAAAGAAAAAAACAGATTAAAGACTGGTGTCAACCAAGTCCCAGAAGAAGGAAGAAAAGGGTGCAGAAAGGAAAAAAAAATTGAAGAGGGGCTGAAATTGTTTCTTTAATTTAGTTAAAGACATCAATCTACATAGTCAAGAATTTCAGTGAATACCTCATTAGAATGAGGTAACCCAAAGAAATCCACTCCTTAACACACCAAAATCAAACTTATAAATTAAGGACAAAGCACATGACATGACCATGTAGGAAATCCCAAGAAATGTAAGAAAAAACTTCTAGAACAAACAGTTAAGTTCATCATGATCTCAGTATGGAAGATTAACACATAGAAATCAATTGTTGCTAGATAGAAACAACAATGGAAATCAAAGTTCGAATTCCTGCCTGATCTGTGTGCTCAATAATAAAAAATGCCAATGAAAGCAATCAAAGAAGACATGAATGCATGACATTCTGTGTTTGTGGATTTGAAGATACAACATGTTAATAATGTCAGTTCTCCACACACAAACAAAAAATGATCTCTAGTTGTTTTCCTTTTCTCTTGGCAGTACTGGGGACTGAATCTAGGGCCTCACACTCGGTAGGCAGGTGCTTTACTACTGATGTACATCCCCAGCTATTTTTATTTTGAAACGGAATCTGAGTTGCTGGGATCCTCCTGTCTCAGCCTCCTGGGAAGCCTGGGATTATAGGTTTGCACCACCACCTCCAGCTGATATCTAGTTTTAATGAAATACCTGTCAAAATCCCAGCAAAGGGATTTTCTAGATAGAAAATCTTATTCTAAAACTTATATGGAAAATCACAGACTGTAGAGTAGCTAAATCAACCTTGATGAAGAAAAATAAAACAAGAAGACACACTATGATAAGGCTTACTATATAGTCACAGTGATTCAGAGTGATACTAGTGGGGGAACAGAGAATCTTGAAATGGAGTCCCACAAACTTGCTCAACTGATTTCTGACAAAAGTGCAAAAGCAATTCAATGGGAACTTTTTAAAAAGTGGTGCTGGAGCAATTAGACAAGAGAGATCCATGTGGTGATAAACCTGTTCATTATTTTAATTGTGGTGGTAGATGTATAAACCTACATATGTGATAAAATTGTATAAATGGAATACAACCATTGGATGGTATCACTGTCAATATCCTAGTTATCTATTGTGGTAAAGTTTCAAAATTTTATAATTGAGGTACAATGCCCCTAAACACGATCCCAAATGCCGCAATCCCTTATGTTGAAATCCTGAAAGCCAAAAAGCCTGAAAACCACAATTCTCCAGGGGCAAAAAAAAAAAAAAAAAAAACCAAAACAAACAAACAAAAAAAAACAAAGACATAAAATTGGTTAAAAAGCTGAATTCTGAGGAGTCAGGATTGCCCATACAATACAGCAACAACAATTTCAGTTTAAAAATGCATAATTTTTCTGCTTTAGCCTTCTTTCCAGCTGATAAAATTATAGGAGTATTAAATGAATTGAAGCTGCATTTGCTTGAAGATGTCAACAAAGTTACTGAGCGGTTTGAAAATAATTTTGTGCATCAGGGGATAAAAAGACACACAACAGTCTGCTGTTCTCTCACCAGTGTTGTTTCTGCCAAGCCTGTGATCTTATTTGAGTGCACAGGGAAGGGACTTCTATGTACCCACAACAGCGTAAAAGCACAGGAGACAGGAACTGAGTGGCAAATGCTCATGTAGGTGTGTATCCAATTGTGGTAGAATTTCAAAAGGAGCAGTGCCATGTAGAAAATTATCATGAATGTATTCTTTTAGGAGAGCCATCCCCTACAAGAAACAAACAGCTACTTATTGATATGTAAGACTTTAAAATATAGTCAATGATACTGAAAATCAACCAGTCAACTCTTATGGACAACCTCCACACAACTGCCCATAATCTGTCCTTGTAAGACATTGTTTCATATGTCTTGTTTCCTGTTTAAATTTTATCTTTGTTTCAAGTTGTTGACATGCCTTTTTTTTTTTAAACAATTTGCTGCAGTATGTATTTCATTTTTGTGCCATTTCCAGTAGCAGGGGCATAGATTTTTAAGAAAGTTCAGTTTATTTTATGCAGTTTTATTTTTGCAAATTTGACTCCTTAAAAGTGCATTATCACAACATTGAATTTATGCGTAAAAATTGTGTGCATATGTAAAAATGCTAAACTTTCTCAGTTAATAAAGAGATGTACTATTTGTACATATGCCCTTTGAAAGATAAAATCCTTTGAGAGCTTGGCTCTTTGGTTTATTCCATATATGGTGGTGAATCACTGTGATATGTGACTGATTTGATCAAGACTTAGGCAGTCCATCCTGGGTTTTTAGAAGATGGTAGTTATAAAGCTGGGTACGCATAATTACCAATCACAGTGGTGTGTTTATACATTCTGGTTTTTGCCTTATTTCTTTATGAATGCCATTTGCCTGCTCTTAAATGTTACTCTTGTGTAACTGTCATTAGTATACCAGAGTGTTTATGCTTGCAAAAATATGTAAATATTTTTTAGTATACCAGAGTGTTTATGATTATAAAAATATGTTATTATCTCCTGTTTTATTGCATACTTGACCTATGAAGTGTTCTGTGTGCTTTTATATGTTTCTCAGATAAATCTCCCTTTTAAAAATCAAATAAATGTCTTTTAAAGATGCTAAAATTACTTTTTTCTAGAGTTATGTTTGGGATTTTGATCTTTCAGGATTTTAGACATTAAGGATTTTGATCTTTTGGGATTTCAACTTTCAAGTTTGTAGCTCTGAGGATTACCTTTGGGGATCATGGCCCAGACCCTATCTTGACCTGTAGAAATTCACTAAGTAATTTTTGATAAAGCCGCAAAGAAAATTCAAGGGGGAAAAAAAGGTTGGTTTTCAGCAAGTATTCCTGGAATAATTGAACTGCCATTGTGGAGTATTTCCATATGGAAATTGAACTTCAACCTAAACCTCACATCCTCTGCAAAAATTAACTCAAAGTTGATGATAAATCTAAAATATAAAAACATCCAATTTTTATTAGAAAATGAAGGAGGACTCTTGATTTGGGATTAGGCCAAGTTTTAGACAGAACCCCTAAAACAAAATCTATAAGGGAAATATTTGATAAACTGGACTTCATAAAAATTGAAAACTTTTTCTCTAAGAAAGATACAGCTTAAAGAATGAAAAGACAAGGTAAAGACTGGGACAAAATATTCACAAAATGCATAGTCAACAAAGGACTCCAACCAAAATATATAGAGTTCTTAAAAGTAAACAGTAAGGAAACAAACAGCCCAATTTAGAAAGTGAGCAAAAGACTTGAACAGACCCATATTTGAACAGAGGATATTAGGATGGAAAGTAAGGATATGAAAAAATGTCCAACATCAT